GGTGAGTCTGAAGTTGTGACTGAACTCCTACAATCTCATGATAAATCTTGAATTGATGAACAGTTGCTTCTTATAGATCAGCAAAGAAAGTGGTTTCCTGAAGTGGAATATACTCTGGTGAAGGGGCTATCAGCATTGTTTAAATGACAACAAAGAATTTAGAATATCATCTAAACTTAGTAGATAAAGCAGTGACAGAATATGAAAGGACTGACTCCAACTTGGAGAGCAGTTCTAATGCGAGTAAAATGCCATCAAACAACATTTTACACCACAGAGAAATACCACTTCCTTTTGTGAAAGGAATACTCATTTGACGTGGCAAACTTCATTGTTGTCTTATTTTAAGAAATTGCCTGCTGGACATGGTGGCTCACACCTGTAATCCCAGCACTTTGGGAGGCTGAGGCAGGCAGATCACAAGGTCAAGAAATCGAGACCATCCTGGCCAACATGGTGAAACTATGTCTCTAATGAAAACACAAAAATTAGCTGGGCATGATGGCAGGTGCCTGTAATCCCAGCTGCTTAGAAGGCTGAGACAGGAGAATTGCTTGAACCCAGGAGGCAGGGGTTGCAGTGAGCTGAGATCGCACCACTGCACTATAGCCTGGTGACAGAGCAAGACTCCATCTCAAAAAATAAAAAAAATCGGGTGGATCACGAGGTCGAGAGATTGAGACCATCCTGGTCAACATGGTGAAACCCCGTCTCTACTAAAAAAAATATACAAAAAATTAGCTGGGCACGGTGGCACGTGCCTGTAATCCCAGCTACTCAGGAGGCTGAGGCAGGAGAATTGCCTGAACCCAGGAGGCGGAGGTTGCGGTGAGCCGAGATCGCGCCATTGCACTCCAGCCTGGGTAACAAGCGCGAAACTCCATCTCAAAAAAATAAATAAATAAATAAATAAATAAATAAATAAATAAATAAATAAATAAAATGTATATATTTACCTCTGGGGAGGCCACTATCATAGTTTTACCAGAAAAACTGTAATTTCATTGGCAAAGATATTTATTACAGTAAGGTCTGATCATTTCCATTTTGAAAAAAATATTGATATAGGTTGACCTCTCACTAAGAAATGCTACTTATAATTCCCAAGTACTTTTGAAACTTAAGTACATTTCCTTTCTGTGGCCCTGTAATCATCATGTCAAAGAACAGAGATTCTCAAATTATTCAAATAGTTAATTATAGATTAAATAAAACTATATTTCAGTAGTTAATTTGCTAAAAACTAGTTCTTGTTTCCAAGTCTTATTTAAATTTCTAACTTTTAAATAATTTATTTCAAGTAATTCTTTTCCAGATTTAGAACTAAGACAGTGTATTCATTTTAGAAAAATAAGCCTCCTTAGAAATGCCATTACTGTTCAGATTATTGATCTCAACCTGCTCTCAGGGCCAAAGTGTTTAGCAAGACTATTTCAGGGACCTGAACAGGATATTTTTATTGACAGTGAGACAGCAGAGTACCCATAGATCAAATGGAAATACCTCGTGGCTAGGTCTATATCATTCTAACATTCTATTGAGTGCAGCACAGATGGTGAGATGTGTTGATGGATGAGGTTGTCTCAGCAGCAGAGTTGTCTTAGTCCTGTCAAGCACTTAAGTTGAATAACCTATTAAACATGGCTGACCTACGGCAGATGGAGATATTTATAAGTAACTATAGCTATTAAATGTGGATCCTCCAGTAGTCTCTAAATATAGTCTTTTTTTTTCTCATAGTTTTGAGTTCTAGTTCCTAAGGCCATTTATTCAAGTTTGCTTTGGGGTAGAGAAGGAACAAAAAGAGATTTGGAGAACATACGTAAACAAAGTAAGAGCAGGACAAAGTAAGGAATTATAGGGTGGCCTAAATAAAATTTTTTAGGAGGTAACATTGATATAAAATACTAATTAAAATTAAAATTTGAATTGTCTAGGATTTAAAAGAAATAAACCCAGTTTCTATGTAGAACTGAGGATTTGCTGTCAAATAATATATTTCCCTCTGTTTCTACTCTACAGAAGACAAGTTAGAAGAAACAGCACTGGTTTATAAGTTATGGTAGTTGGGTAATTGTGTGACCTTAAGCATGTCATGCAAATTTTGGAGGTATCGGTTTTCTCATTTGTAAAATTAGAGTTAGTAAATGTCGTAAACATTGTCCTACAACTATGAACTTTGGCTTTTTTGTTCCATTTCACATCAATAGTTATTGAGTCTTACTTAGAGCCCATGTGTATAAAATAGAATAGTACTCAATATTTAGGTTGTTCTTAGATGTGTTTTTTTTTTCATAACACTTACATGACCTTCTATCTAACTTATCTGTAAGTTTCATACAGGCAATAATTATTGTTCGTTTTGTTCACTGATTTATTTCAAGTACCTTAACACTGTAAACATTCAACGTTTGTCAAATGAATGACTAAATGAAAAAACACATGTAAAGAGTGCTTAGCATAGTAATTGGCACAAAGCTTTGATAAATTGTTCTATAAATGGTTATGATAAATGATTTTATTAATACCCACAGTGCCATCTCACTAAGATAGTTGGAAGAAATTGCGATATTTCAAAAAGAAGTTGGAGGGTACTGAGGACCACACTGTTGTTCTCAAATATTTGAAAGGGTATCACATGTTACTTTTAAAGAAAAGAATATGGGCCAAGAGGCAGAAACTACAGGGAGATAGTTTTAAAATTTGGAGTAAGGAAGAGGTTTCTAGCAAAATTGCTCAAAAATGAAATGAACTGGTGTTCAAGTAAATTTCAAATTATTATATAGCCAGTTAATGGGGGGATAAAAAAATCTAACTGAAGGCTATAAATTTAGTATTCCACGAACTAAACGATATGGAGAGAACAGTGTTTATTACATATAAAATGTTTTAAAATATACAAAATATAAAATTTTGTGGTGCTTCTGGAAATAAAATGAAAATCACAAATATCGTAATAACCAATCTATTTACTTTATGTAAATAAGATCAAAGAACATTTACTTTCTGGCAAATATGCCATATGACTGCAAATAAATGCTGCTGATTTGTCTTATTAATGCTAGCAAATGCAACAGATAGGAGTTACAGAATTCTTTATTCCCTATCAGAAAACAGAACTACTTAAAGCCAGATTTTTTTCTTTTATGTTCTTTTTTACCCCAGTTGTAACACTGCACTTCAGAATACAGTATAAGAATTATTGGCAGTTGGCATATTCGTGGGTTGTATAAAACTAACTGGTGCATCATTCCTGCCAACTAGGGATGATTTTGACAAAATGCATGGCATTGATAAAAAAGGATCTCACTCTATCATTTTTACTGAAGGATGTGTGGCCTCATACCAAAATAGCCCCATCAATCTATTGCCATCAGACTGGACAGAAAAGAATTGGGTACATAAAATGGCTGTCATAAAATGTATCCCAGCTGGAGCTAAGTCTGATCACAGAAAGTCAGTTAAGCATTTGGAAAATGAAGAAAGTATGTTTCCTTTAATGAGCCATCAAAAGTTAATAACAAGTGAGCTGGCTCTCTATTTAGGGTAGAAGCCCTGAGAAATATGTGGAAGTTTCTAAGGTTTTGCTGTTCTTTAAATTGAATACATGTTAATAAAAAGATATGTGATATATAATAATATTTTAAAGATATGGAATGAAGAAGCTGCTTTCCTACCACTGATAATTTCCAGTGTTACCATCTCAGAAGCGCATTTCATTCACACATTCAAATCTATGGTGCTGGCTTACTGGTTACAGTAGTTAATTTTATGTGTTTAGTGCCTGGACTACAGGTGCCCAGACATTTTACCAGACATTATTCTGCCTGTGTCTGTTAGAGTGTTTTGGATGAGATAAACATTTGAATCAGTAGACTGAGTAAAGCAGATTGCCCTCTCTAATATGGGTGGACGTCAAACAATTAACTGAAGATCTGAATAGAGTTAAAAGACTAAGAGGTAATTTTGTGCTGACTGCATGAAATGGGGCATCGGTCTTTCCTAGCCTTCAGACTTGGACTGAGACTTTGGCTCATCTTGAGTTGCAAGGTTACCAGCTTTCAGACTGGAACTTAATGTTATCATCTCTCATGGTTCTAAGACCTTTAGACTTGAATTGGAACTACACACATTGGTGCTTCTGGGTCTTTCGCTGGCCAACTGCAGCTTGTGACTTCTCAGCTTCTTTAATGACATGAACCGATTCCTTGTAGTAAATCATATATATCATATATATATGATATATATATACATATCATATATATATATTTACACACACACACAAATACATACACATATACATGTGTGTAGGACACACATATGTGCACATTTTGTATTATATATGTATATAGTTTTGGTTTTATTTTTCTGGAGAACATGACTAATACATTGATTCAGCAACAACAACAGGGAATGGCATGAGTTGTGTCAATCACATCAATTATTCAGATAATTAAAGTCAATCTCTGAAGAAGCTCATATTTTAGTACCTTGTCTAGAAACAATGTAGGTGATCAGGCAAGATAATGACACTATTGTGATATAGAATAGAAAGTCAAGTTTCTAATGCTTTAAAAATGAGCTCTGAAAGTAATTCCTCACTTCCAAACCCAAATTTCTATGATTCTACATTATAAACCAAACTCTTATAATCATTCTCAAAATCAGTTTTAAAAGCAACTATGAGTTTGGGACATGTTTACTTTCCAAGTAAATTACTCAAGCATATAAAATCCCTTTCATTTCCTTACAGTGACTTTTTTAGGACTTCAAGAGGCATCATCTTCATTTGTTGATTTCTGTTATTATTAATCAGCACATAGCAGTCTACTTATTTTCCATGATTCTCTCCAGGCACAGGTGCTTTATGAAATGTAAGCTTTATTTCCACTGCACAGATTAAGCTTTGAAAAAATTTTTTATTATATACTAAATGCTACCCTTCGTTGATGCCAAATTCTTGGTATTAACTCCATGTGAATTTTCTCATCATCGCTTACCTGCCCAGAAGCAGAAATTCTCCGGCTAGACCCAGGCGCCTCATGGCCATCAGGAGACCTCTCACTGTCATGCCTTCGCAGAAGCAGGCCACCACCCGGGCCTTGGGCAAGTGACTTGTGAGCTTCTTCAGCAGCTTATCAAAACTCTGCTCCCCTGCATTGCTGTAGATTTTGTAAGAATGGGCGATGCAAATCCCTTCCTTTGCTGACATATCTTTGAAGGCTTCCATCCCACTTTCTCCATAATTTCCTGTGTGAAAACATAGATGAGCAGAGGGATTATAAGATGACAGTGTTGCATTAATTGGGTATAATCAAAATAAAGGTGTTAGGAGCATGAAAGTCATTGGTATGTTACTTGGAACGCAAAGACCTGAAGTTCAGTTTTTGCTCTTTTGCTGAATTGCTTATTTTGTGTAAATTACAATTGAACTACATTATACATGTATTGATCTTTTATATTTTCACTTAGATGAGAGAGTAATACAAAAAAGTGTAAGGAATTCACATCCTTTTATGACTCAAAAAGAGATCCTAGTCTAATATGTGAGTTGATGGAAGATATTTATCTGCCATTTTTTATTTTGCATTCTATATCACTTTCCTTTGCTTCTCATTGATAATTTCATCCCACTGATTCAGATTTTTGTCTTTAAAGTTATAGTACATATGTGTAATACATGTAGTTTATAGAGTGTAGATATTGCCATATAAATATTTTATAGAGTATTATATATAATATTCAGTATATTAGATACTTACCATGAGAATTTATGGTTTCTTAATTAAAAAACTGAGATCCTTGATTAAGATTTAGTATACAACCATGGGTAAGTTATTGAGAAGGATGAAAAAATCCAAAGTCCTTTGCAAAATTTAGGGACTGAGGACTAATGGTAGTCTTTTAAAATTAATGAAAAGGGGATTAATATTGACAGCTATATGCCAGGACACCAGGACCTTTATATATGTGATCTACTTTAGCACTAATTATAAATTATTTATGTAGATATTATGAGCTCCATTCCATACAGTCATAAGAAGACAGATAAAGTAGTTAGGTCCACATTTGCCTGGAGTTACACTAGCAGTAAGTAGAGGGCTGGACTCCATTCACAGATCTAATAGCATAGGTTCTGCTGCCTCTCCTTCTCTAAGGCTGACTCTTAAGAATCTCATAATTCTAATTACATTTGCATTTCTCTTTCCCATTTCAAAGTGACAATTCTCCAATTTTAGATTTTCTTGGAACATTTTAAGGCTCTATATTTCATACAAGTCTCATATTCTGAATTTTCAAAATAGATAAATGACAGGGGTTCCTTTGAAGAATGCAAGAGGCTATTACAAGATAACCAAGCTGCAGAATATATAAGAATGGAACTGACATAAAAATCAACTAGACTTAGGAACTGGAATCTCATCAGGAGGATTAGATATCAAATTAATAAGGAGCACTGAACATTCAATTGCAGAGGGTTCACTATATGTCTATAACTGCAATAAAGATAAATCCATAACAATTTGATTTTGGGAAAGTCAGTTTATATATATCAGCTCACTGCTCCTTACATCAACTCTGTAATTAAAGGTTAACGTTATCTCCCCTTGGCTGATAAAACAAATATAGATGGTAGGTGTCAGGATCTTGGTTTGAACATATATCTTCTGATTCCTGCCCTGATGTGTGTGCTATCATACCACAGGTTCCTTGATGCAAACAAAATCCATAATCTTTGAGGGTAGATTTTGGTGAAGTTTATCTCAATAAACAAATTATAAAGTGCAAAGCAGAGCAGATCAGCTTGAGTCTCAGCCAAAAATATTGGTGGGCCAGCTGCATCTTTTCCCTCCTTCTCCAGAATTAAAAGCAACAAGAAGCCTCTGTCATGATGGCAGGTGGGCAATCTAGTTATTTTGCAATTAACAAAGTTTAAAGGGCACTTTCCGAAAAATGTGCCAGTGGGCCTAAATTACTACCAGTTTTACACTAATCTGAGAAATCTATTATTCTTTATTTTTAGCTAACTCTGTTTTTCAACAGACTGCCTTGCATTTCATGTTTGGATTTAATGCAGAGGCATTGGCATAAAAAATTTAAAATTAGGTATAGTGATTGTGACGTGAATGTATTGAGAATTTCCTATTCCTTATTTACTTTTATTCTCAATACATTCACTGTTAAACAAGAAAAGATACCTAACAAATTCAGATTCTTTAGCACTTTGTTCCTAACAGCTTTGTTTTAACACTGTTTTTGTTTATACACTATGTAATACAGAAGCAGCTTGAAATAGTGGAGAGAACTTTATTATTAGAGAAACCTGAGTTCAGTTTACATAGTCTTTTTGATTTCAGCTTTCTGAGTTAAAACTGCTTAACATTCAGATATTTTTTATATTCTATATAATGTATTTAAACTATCTGGTAGGTCACCTGAACCCAATTAATTGTACATACTGAAATTATAAAGAATACTCAACCCTATCAAAAAGTGGGCAAAGAATATGGGCAGACACTTCTCAAAAGAAGATATTTATATGGCCAAGAAACATATGAAAAAGAAGTTCATCATCACTGGTCATTAGAAAAATGCAAATCAAAACCACAACGAGATACCATCTCACACCATTTAGAATGGTGATCATTAAAAAGTTAGGAAACAACAGATGCTGGCAAGGCTGTGGAGAAATAGGAATGCTTTTACACTGCTGGTGGGAGTATAAATTAGTTCAACCATGTGGAAGACAGTGTGGCAATTCCTCAAGGATCTAGAACCAGAAGTACCATTTGACCCAGCAATCCCATTACTGGGTAACATATTCAAAGGATTATAAATTTTTCTCCTATAAAGACACATGCACACATATGTTTCTTGCAGCACTGTTCACAATAGCAAAGACTTGGAACCACCCAGAATGCCCATAAGTAACAGACTGGATAAAGAAAACGTAGCACATATACACCATGGAATACTATGCAGCCATAAAAAGGATGAATTCATGTTCTTTGCAGGGATATGTCTGTACCTGGAAACCATCATTCTCAGCAAACTAACACAGGAACAGAAAACCAAACACTGCATGTTTTCACTCATAAGTGGGAATCAAACAATGAGAACACATGGACACAGGGAGAGGAACATCACACATAGGGGTCTATTGGGGTTTGGGGTATTGGGGGAGGAATAGCATTAGGAGAAATATCTAAGGTAGATGATGAGTTGATGGGTGCAGCTAACCACCATGGCACGTGTATACCTATATGACAAACCTGCATGTTCTGCACATGTATCCCAGAACATAAATTATAATTTCAAAAAACTTAAGAATATTGTAGACAGTGTTTAGCTACTTTTTTCTAGAGCATCTAAAACAAATAGTGGAGCAAATGGCACTATTACTGAATACTAGACTAAAAAAATTAGTTTATACTAGCAGAAGAAAATATTATTTTCCAAGAGTAAATCCCAAACAGTACCTTTTAAAAATTAAAAAAGGCAGGGTTATATATGAAAAATTTCTATTCAATTTTGCAGTGAATCAAAAGCTTCTCTAAAAAAGAAACTCTATTTTAAACATTTAAATAAGAAACAGTTTTAATACATGTGTGACATAACAATTTTATGGAATATAATTTTGATTTAGAAAAAGTAATCCTTTGTAAGCTGGGAGACAAATGAGAATGTCTTCCAAGAAAATGGAAAAGACTGAAGTGTTGACACTTTCTGGTAGCTGAAAGACACACTACATTCTAGAATTACACATTTTAAAATAATGAAAAAAAGTGTAGCAAAAGAAATGTCTACAGGCATCTCAAAGAAGAAAGGAAGACATTTCAAGTGATATGTAGAATGAGGGAAAAGCTAAGGAAGCAACTATTTATTTTTCCAATAGAGGGAAACAAGTCACTTAGAAAGAAAGCTGTGGTATAAAGCATAAAACTAACACATGACTTTATTTTAAGCAATGAATAGAAGTAAGAAGGAATCTATAGAATGTTCATCATTAAGTAGCAGAGGGTTTATAACTTGGATTTATGTGGAGAAAACATAATCATAGCCCAATATCTTCACTTGTAGCTCACACTATTTACAGGCATAATGATGCAAATGTTAATCATTGATTTTCAAAATTAAGAATCCACCTATACACAAATGGAAAACTCAATATGCAATGAAATATATTTGTTATCAACTTTTATGATGCTGACTAAAGAGAAAGATGATGAAGGCTGAGTGGTAGATACAGGGAAAGAGGAAGACCATTAAAATCATCCACTTCCAATTTATAAGTCAAGATATAGAGAAAATAAAATATATGTGATTAAGGGAATTATTTGAAGTTAAATAATCAGGAGGTAGCTAATATAATGGGAGAATTATAATAAAAGAAGGGATAAGAAAATGTACAAGGTAAGAGATAATGTCTATAGTCATTTAAAAGTAGTTTTTTTAAAAAGACATATTCATATTAGAGCAGTGGAGGTAAAAATAAAAGAATGAAAAACGAAAACATTTTTTCACTTTACGCCCTTCTGCATTATTTGACTTTTAAGAATATGAAAATACACATTTAATGAAAAATATAAATTAGCATACTTAAAAGTCATTGAAAGGAGAGAGTTGATGCAGCTAATTTTAAAAGTAATTTTCTTCTCTGCTGTATTGTTTTATCCTGTTTTAGTGATAAAACTCATAGAAGTTTTTTACATGCTACTTTTAGTGGTGAAAATGTAAATTAGTACACCCATTAATAGGAAACTGCATGGAAGTTCCCCAACAAAACTAAAAACAGGGTGACCATATGATATGGCACCACTCCTTCTGGGTGTAATTCCAGTGAATTTTAACTGTACTCCCATGTTCATGGCAGCATTATTTACAAAAGCCAAGTTATATCCATCAATAGATAAATGAATTTTAAAATGTGGTGTATATATACACAATAAAATGCCAGCAGCCTAGAAACCCTAATAAATGGGTTAGAAAAGGAAAAAAAAATTCTGCCATTTGCAACAACAGAATATTACTCGCTTTTGTACTGCTAAGGGAACCTATTAGAGAACCAAAACATGTTGAATAGATGACTAAATGAGAAGTACAAATAACCAACGTCTATTTCCAGGTTAAAATAATTGCCCAACTAACTATGTGACCAGCAACTGGGATGCCACATTGTGTCTAGGGGGTGTCACTCTAGTAAGCTATTATAAAATATTTCACTTAAAACATGAACAGAGTTGCACAAT